GAATTGTTTTTCTTTGGGATAAAAATGGTAAATAATTTTATTATATGAAATTCTTTTTCCCAAATCTACCAGCAGCTCAAACAAGACAAGAGTTACAACTACACGTATTTACAACTACAAGTTCTTTATTATAACAATGGAACGAGTTACAACATTGTTCAAAATACAACTTTAAAATATAGCTTGTTTACTTGTTACAAGGGAGGGGGAAGATCAATTACTATTTCATCCAGAGTGGCCAGAAAATCTTTAGTAGACTGCAGACAATCTGAAAAAAATAAAAAATAAAGATTATAATATCTCCAGACAGTTAGCTCTAACTTTAGGTATTTTAAAGTGACTAAAAGTGTGTTTACTTAGTCATTCTTAAAATAGCTGTTACTGGATAATTCCTAAACATTGTTGTGCTTTTTTTTCCCTACTACCTCTATCCCTTTCTAACCAGGTGCCTTCCAAGTATCTTGGGACTTCAGTTTGCAAAACTATTAGCCCACATGACTAATAAATAGCTAGTAAACTAGAAATCATGGTTTCAGTACATGTTGCAGACCCCAAATTGAACAAGGCAGTTAAAGACAAAATATCACAACTGCTAGATTTTTCTGAATAGTGTTTACCATAGTCCCATGAAACTAAAGGTTGTCTTGGAGGCAGAGGGATGCTACTTGTAAATCTATCAGGCACATTATCAAATGTCATAAGAGGAACTCCAGTCAAAGACATATGGCTCAGCCGGTGCTCTTCAGGAACATCAAAACTCTCGAAATCTATTAATGGAAAATGGTAGAACAAAATACAATGAAATGAAACTTCCCGTTTGATCTTAAGCATAGGTCAGAAATAAACTTGATTAAAACTTTGCTTAAATTGAGTCAATATAACTTCTAACTTTTCATGATCTTTATTAACCTGGATCAAGAATAGAAGCCTACTTCATTATATGCAAGATGATATGCCAGGGGTATCACATCTTATTGTACAGATGTTTATTTGTGAAACCTGATTATTAAATGAGTCCTCTGTTGCCAAAACAAAAACAAAAACCCTGAAGCTCTTTCCTTTTTGGGCATTACCTAGAGGATTATAAGAAAAAAGATTCTCCTTCTCTGGGAATTCTTCAGGAACCATGCTGTTGTCTTCAGTTCTGCTTGTATTTTCATTTTCCTAAGTAAGAATAATAAAAAATAGTTACAACACCCTCTCAAAACAAAGATTAGAGACTGTAGCACATGAATATCTGGGGTTGTTTTATTCCAAAGCTACTAGCCTAGGTTATTAGCCCACAATGCCCCATTAAAGTCAAGATCCATAAGCAGCAGCTCCAATCTTTCAGGTAGAAGTTTTATTACTCTACATGAAGATGCCAGAGATTAAATTTGGGACTCAATTGCTTTTTTATGGAGTCATTTCACCTCCTGAGATCAAAGGCTTAAATACAAACAGTTTCTTCTGTCTGAGCATCTCAGTGTCATCCAACAGAAAATTAGCTTTACTAACCTTTTTTGACAAGAACTTTTTTCCTTTGGGGAATTGACTCTTTGTTGTTGCTAGAGGTCTGTTCAAATTTCCCAGAGCCTTCCTGACTGATTGAGATTCTGTTAGATTCACATTAGCTGTCCTTCCAACAAGAGGGGTTTTAGGATGAGATCTTTCTACAAACACTTTTGCTGTAGAAGGGGAAAGTCCTGTTATACAATGCAATTTAGATCCTATATTCCAACATTTATTAAAGTAGGTTTAATAAAGTAGGTTTAGCATCCCCAAATGCACTAAAAGCATACAGTTGGACAATTCAGAATAGGGCTATGGAGGAATTAGTACAACCACGTTGGCTTTTATGTCAATTAGATAATAATTTTAATAAAAATTGCTTGTCTAATAAACTAAGACAATATCCTGCAGTTTAGCTCAGCTTCTTCCATTCACGGCAGAATCCACACAGTGGTCCTCTGTACAAAGCAAAAAGATGGCCGCTTTTAATTTCTCTTTCTTCCCACCCTGCTACAGTATTTTCAGAAGAGTTATATGATCAAGTTATCCCTAAAGTCTCAAGACTGACTCTTTTCTCAGTGCTTTCCATTACACAAAAGCCACATTGATATCATATTTAGGTAACTCTTCACCTTCTATCCTCTTAAAATAACAAATCATTCTGATTAGACAGCAACCAAATCAATTAATATGTTGAGCGAGCCTTTTCAGAGATAGATTTTTTTTGCTCATTTAGACTAGCTGTATTATATAAATGCAAACTCACAAGGTGCTAATAGCTGTTTTAGTTGGCCCTTAGTAGCAATAGTGGTGCCAGTTTCTCCATTCTCTTTGTCTATGAAGATATGTGTTGCCATTCCTATGGCATCAAATGATCCCTAAAACAGATACCCACAATATTATAACACATCTAAGTTTATTATCTAAACTTCTCACATCAATACAAGATTGCAAGTGTACTTTTCTCCTAAAATATCACATAACTAGGATAGCCGCTTCTAGCTCAGAATCTTTCAGAACCAAGACAGTTATCCTAGTTCAAACTGTCTTAAGCTGACTCAGGTGGGAAGACTGAATTCCATCCAAGATTCACCTGTTCTTTTTACAGGAAACACATTTTTTGCTTAAACAATTTGAAAATGTGACTTTATAATGTTTCTATATTTAGAAAATATAGTCTGCCATCTACTACTTGCAAATATATATATAGTTCCTTGATTTGACAGTGGCAACAAGTAAATAAATTGCATTGTCTTAATGGATAGAATAGAATTCTTCATTGGCCAAGTGTGGTTGGACACACAAGGAATTTGTCTTGGTGCAAATACCCTCAGTATACATAAAAGAAAAGATACATAAAAGAAAATTTCAAGAGCTGGAAAATAATTTGATTGTAAAAATGCCATCTGTGGATAATTATGCCTCAGCAAATGACTTTGGGCTCAAAACTAAGAAAAATCAGACCAAGTTTACACTAAGATAAAAACAATTAATATTGTTAAGATAGGCCGAGATCTCAAAAGTAGGCAGTTACAATGCACTTCCATTTTGGTTTCATAAACATTTTGATGAAGTAGCTGGGTTTCTAGCTCATTAAAAGGAGACTTATTTACATCAAAGCAGGAGTTATAGTTGAGAAAGATTCAAAATTTATAGATCAGATTAAATAGAGTACAGTATAGCCATTAATTTGACCTCCAAATGCTACTTGTCTCAATTCAGTCTTCCCAACATAGTATTCAAGGATCTAAAACTTCTTGAATTAAACACTTTGAAGTTGAATTAAACTCTTTGTAGTTTAAACAATTAGCCTTTTAATTAAAAAAAAATTCTCCCTCATCCCCTATTTTGGAATATCATGCCTCATGAAGTTCTAAACCAACATTTTTGTTAGTTCTGTAACAAAGATATTATTCTATATGAATTTGTTGTGGTGTGCATGCACTATAGCAGTCAGCGTATCTTGCTCTCTGCTGCTACCTGTAAACAGAACTGAAGCCTTTATTTTTCAATTATTTCAGTTTAATACTCGTAGCCCCGGCATTTCTATGTTCATTAATAGAGCTTCTTTCAGAATTAGTTTTAGAAGGCTATCAAACAGAAAAATAGCACTGGGGTACAAGTCCATAGAAAGCATATACGACTTAAAAAAACAAAACAAAAACAAGTTTCAGCAATTATGACAAAAGATAGAACTGAAATACTGACCACCATCCCGCTTCTTCCTAAACTATTGTTTGCAGTTTTAATTTTGCAACAGAGCTAGCCTTTAAAACCTAATACGTATGAACAAACAGAAACGAAAATTAAACTATCATGAAGGAAAAAAGTTCCACATCCATCATCCCCTTATCTATCCATTACCTCGGCAAACACTTTGGTTAAAACTTGCAACGTAGCTTTCTCTACCGGATTCTTTTAAATCTTGCACTTGGTCCCTGATTGGCTATTGCTCCTCGTATTGAGAGGTTAAAACTACTGATTGGCTCCTTTTCTAAACCAATGTTGGCGGGGGACAAGTGGAGGCTACGCTGCTTTGCCTTGAATCTCATTCGCAGGCAATGCGGGATATTTAAGAGCCAAGGATTGCGATGTCGATTTGTGAAGTACGAAAGCGATACTGACTTGATCCCATAATCTTCAAGGTGGGGGGACTTCAAGCTCCAGGATAATTTAATTTAAAAAACAAACATCAGCGGGATGGCTGTGTTGATCTATATAGCAATATAATCCGCATGGGATCGTGGTATTTTACGGCATTTTACTGTGATGCTATGAACGTCTAAATCGGACCAAAGCCCCATTGAAACTCACTAGGAATTACGACCAAGTAAGTTTAGCTAGTAGTGTTTGATTAACTTTTATCTGGGCTTGGAAGGGAAGCGGAGGTTGCCGTGGCCGTGGCTAAGACTTGGATGGGAGACTGCCGCCCCTGAGACACCACGACCGTCGGCTAAGGCTGGTCGAGAAAGTCCCGGAAAAATGCAATACGACCCGTTTCTAAATCGTTGGCAAAGTAATGGCATGCTGCCCCTATAAGTCACATATTAATGATTGCTTGCATTATTCCTGTTATGATTGCGTGCCATTTAAACCATTGTGTCTAGTGATTGCATAGCTAGAGTTTCTCCATGAAGAAATAAAAACCTTTGAATTGCACGCTTCACTTTGTCAGGTGTTTTTTTTTTAACGAGGCAAAGATCCATGGAAATGTATGCCATAACAAATAATAGATCCTAATAGAGGCTTGTATGAAAGAAAATGCACTTCCACCAAGTCTTGGGTTTCAGATCCTCGGGGCTTTATAAATGTAACAAGTTTATTTAGGAATAAACTCCACCGACATTTGAAAGGCCGACTCCGAACAGCTCTAAGCTTGCACCCTCAAAAGAGTTTACTGAAAGCCAAAGCCCGGGAATGAGCGTTTTTAAAATAAGAGCGCGGCCCCTTTAAGGAGTAGTGAGAATGTGAGCGTGCTGCATTGTGGGAAGCGGAAACACACCGGAAGTGAGGCTTAATGAGCGTCGTAGGCCCGGTGGCGCAGGAAGGCTGATCGACGGCTCGGGTGAGTGGCGAGTGCTCTCGTTTGGATCGGTGACACTGATCGGGGCTGGTTTGCTTTTTCCCGGGTGAAACCTGCAACCGGTGTGTAAATTACACGTGCAACTTAATCCGGGTTAAGTTGTTTCGTAGGTAGTTAAAATTCCGGGTCTCTTCGTTAATGAAGTTCAGAACTCTCCTTTTTAAGTTTCATAAAACGGGAGCGAAATCCAGTTATGCCTCTTGTGCTGCTGCTGCTGCTAGATAAGCTCAAGGCAACTAAAGCTGCCCGGGAAACATGGATTATAGGTTTCATAGTCCTGGGGTTATTGGGCAGGTCGACTGGGGCTGGTGGGAGTTAGAGCCCAAAACAGTTGGAGTCTACAAGGGCGTCTGCCCCAATTTAGAAAAGCAGCATTAAAAACTAATTGGAGTTTCGGGAAGGTCTCAAAGGGAAGGTGGCTGGGGGTGCTTTTGATGATATTTTACACCGTTATGTACCGTATATTTTAGAATTTATATGGCTGGCTGGCTGGCATACTGATCCTAGACTGTTCACAACAGCCAACAAAAACCAGAGTAGTAACAACAGAACAACCCTTCCCATCAGATGCCAGACCAACCACACCATTAGTTTCCTGACTCAAGCCCAGTATTTGGGGTAAGAGCCAGCAAGGTGGTCTTCACAGCCTTCCAAAGGTCAGGACCAGCTATAGAGAAGGTGCTTCTTCAAAGCCCCAAAAGATGGCAGCCTTCAAAGAAAGGGAACTGGAACTCACCCAGGTCAGATAATGGAATGGCAGATATTCTTGGAGAGAGGCAGTCCCATAAGTAACTGATCCTATGCCATGTATTTCTTTAAAGGTGAGAAGCAGCACCTGTAAAGCAACTGGGAGCCAGTACAGTTCAAACGGCAACAGTCGCACTATAACTTGGGGGAAGCACTGGGCACCCATTCTGCAGTGAAGGATCCCCAAATTGCACAATAGTTCTGTCTGGAGGGGAGGGTTTCCTTGTCCATACAATGAAGGGACAATGACCCACAAACATTGTGTCTTTGTAGAGTTGACTTGCAGCCAATTTCTCCCCAACCATGCCCATAGAACCTCCCAATGCTGACCGAACAGTATAACCTACCTAGCATGGGTAGAGATATATGATTGGGTATAATCAGTGCGCAGGTAGTCTTTGACTTGCAATTGAGCCCATCATTTTGGACATAGGTTGTAATGGTCGTAAAGCAGGTTACAACATGCCATACCCAATTTTATGACCTGTTTTGTGGCAGTTGTAAAACAAAACAAACTGCATTTGTAAAACAAGCGGACTGCTCTATCAGGTCATTAAGTAAACCTATTGGTAGCTATAGAGTGTTTTTTTGCCAGAAACTGAAATAAACATTAGTTTCAGTCACATGATTGCAGGGTGCTGCAAACAGCCATAAATGCAAACTGGTTGCTAATACCCAAAATGTGGTCATGTGACTGGACATGGGGGGTCATTGGAACTTTGAATTTGGGCTGTAAGTTCCATTTTTATGATCTGTCATATGTTGAGAATGCCTGTACAAATGATGCCAAAATCCATACCATTAAAGTTCATATTTCCATTATATGTAAGTTTGTAAAAAAAAAGTTTGTAATATCTACAAAAGGCAGTTAAATTGCAAAGAAAAATGCAAGATATTTTTAAATAATACAAATGACAATAAAATATAAAAGTCTTCATTGAACTTATAAAATTGGTATAAAGTTATAATAAAACTCAGAAGTATTTTAGTGATGGATTAGCTCTCACAATTAAAAATAGCATGAAAGCTCTGTTTATGCTGGCTCTTGATCCATGGATTGCTCTCAGAAAAAAAACTGGTCTTCCATACTCATCCACATCTTGGTATCCTTGGGAGAGAATTTGCTTTTCAGGCTAGACTAGATTAATTCATCAAAAATGGTCATGATTTTTTAGCATTTATTAAAATAGTTTGAAAAACCTAAAACTTTTTAAATAGTTTGAAAATCTTTTTTAGCATTTATTAAAATAGATTTGAAAACCTATTAACAAATACAAACATGTATTTGTTAATAGGCCATAGAATAGAATCTGGGAACATGGAAACTATAGCTGCTAATCCTCCTGGAGGATCAAATGGCTTGGAAGAACCCAAGAAGATGACAAGAGAAGATTGGAGAAAGAAGAAGGAATTGGAAGAACAACGAAAACTGGGAAATGCACCAGCTGAAGTCGATGAAGAAGGAAAGTAAGTATTGTTTGCAATCCCAATACAACTTTCTTTAACTTTTTTAGCATAATATAACAAAACTAGGGGGGGGACGACAGCACCCTGCTGGCCAAAATGACACGGAGGGGCACATAGCCTCCCTATACCTCATTTTTGGTCTGGACGGCCTCCTGCAGCACCCTGCCAGCCAAAACAGGATGCGGAGGAGCCTCGCACAGCACCCCCCCTGCTGGCAGCCCCATTTTGGCTGCCAGAAGCACCACAGGCCAATTCTTTGCTATTTCCAGGCCGACCGTGCAAGCCAGATTTACGCACTCCGCAGGCCAGATCTGAGCCTTGAGTTTGACAACCCTGGCATAGAGAATCTTAGTCTTCACCAGAATGCTCCATTGCTTTCTTTGCCAGTCACTGGGGGGTAAAGAACAGGAAAGACAATCAGAGACAGAATCTATGTACAGAAACGTACATAGTGATTATATAGGTGAATGTATTATATAATATAGGTGAATATATGTTATGTATGAGGTGTATTGTTGAGCCACATGAGCATCTGTGAAAATCTTGCTCGCTCTCCCATATCATACAGATAAAGTTCCAGTTAAGATCTTAAAAATATGGTATGATGGAAATTGAATTTTTTAAAAAAATTGGAAAATTAAGTGCCGCGTTCAGTGATTCCTACTTAATGACTGGAACCTAAATTCTCATCTAATTATAACACTACTTATTACAGAGACATCAATCCTCATATTCCCCAGTATATTTCCTCAGTACCATGGTATATAGATCCTTCAAAAAGGCCTACACTGAAACATCAGAGACCTCAACCAGAGAAACAAGAAGAATTTACATTACTAGGAGAATGGTATAAGCGAGGAGTTAAAGAGGTAGGCAGCTATATGTAAAACTGATGCTGTTGTGCAAGATTATTCATAAATGTTAGCTAACTTGTTTGGCTTTTTTATTATGACTGGTGTTTGAAAAGTCAAATTCAGTGATGGTGAATTTATACTCAAATGTGAAGGGGCATAGTTTGTTAGCTATGTCTGGCTAAAATTCCCTGCAATTAGCATTTCAGAGTGATTTATATAATTAGATAATTTCTTTGTAAAGTTAGAATGGGCTACCATATTCTATATTCTCATATAGGAGAGGACAAACTAAATACTCTATTGCTACAAATGAGTTATTTGTTTTTGTCTTTAGAATGCTGTTGCAACCAAATACCGTAAAGGTGCTTGTGAGAACTGTGGTGCATTGACTCATAAGAAGAAAGATTGCCTAGAGGTAAATAACATTCCATAAAAGCAATATGACCCTATGTCTCAGGTAAAATTTTGTAGTCTCTGTGGATTTTAAAAATTTGTATCTAATAGAATTGAGTTCTATGGAACTCAAGAGTTGCATGGAACATAAGAACAGAAGGCCTTTTTTGCTGGACCACAAGGGAGAATTCCAGTGGCATTTTTTTTTTCATTTTTTTTTCTCATCATGTGCATTTTGAAAGATGAGTTACTGTAGTTCTCAGCAAACGAGGCCTTTCCCCCTCCCACTGCATTGCCTCTTCTTAACTCTTCATTATATGTCAAAGCTGTCAAACTCCCGGCCCACTGGCTGGTTGCATCATGCACTAGCCACGCCCATGCCTAGTTTAGCGGAAGGGGGGAAAGTCCCAGTAAGTCCAGTGACATCGTCGTGAAGATGTGAGTTTGACATCCCTGTTGTTTGTTCTCCATATGGGCAGAGACATCTGAAGCTTGCCTTTTGAAACCTGAGCTGCCTCTGCCTGAGTCATGCATCCTCAGCAGTGGAAGGAAAAAAGTGATGAAAGTTAGCTTGGAGTGGCAGGGGCTTTGCAGAAGAAGCCAGGCCTGAAGTAGAGGCTTGGGGGCAGCAGTCGACTGATACTGCTAAAAGCTCCAGGCCTCTACTTCAGCCCCAGCACGGCTGGCGAGGAATGCCACTGTGCAGGGTAGCAGAAAGGACAGAGAGATTGGGGAGATAGCAAGGTGGATGGAGTTGTAGTTTCCCTGTAGTTGTAAGTGGACTGCCAAATGCCCAAATTTTGATCATGTGAAGGTGGAGGCACTTACAACAGGTGTAACTTTATGGGCCAGGCGTAAATCCCATTTGTTCAATGCCGGTGTAATTTTGAATGGTCTGAACAAATGGTCGTTAAGCAAGGACTGCCTGTATGAGGAAGAGGTTAATCAGATGACAAACAGGAACCACTTTTCCCAAAAGTAACAATTTGGTAAAGTAGCAAGAGAATCAAGTATGTTGTTAAATATAGCTAAATTAAGGCTATTTGCAATTGTTAAACTGCCTTTCCCCTATTTCAATCACAAAGAACCAGGAAAAACTTTTGATGTCAGAAAATTCAAGTTTCCACCCCATGACAGAGAATAAGGAATATTCTTACACATCTATTGCAGTGAGGTTATCATGGGATATGGTGGTCCAGGCCACAATGGATGGACCAATAGGATTTTAAGTTTATCATTCCAAATTTTAGGTCTTTGAAGCTCCTGTTTGTTTCTTTATTTACAACATTTTAGTAGTGTTTTCATTTAAAAGAAATCAAAGCAGTTACTTTTTCTGTAAGGAGTTATGTTCATTTGTCCCTCATGGTCCTTGGTTTCAGTGTTAACAGTGGAGCTGTAGTTCAGCCACATAAATATAGTAGCTGCATTACATCTGGAAAAAACTTAATGCTACTAAGGAAGAGTCTGCTGGAAGGAAAAAGTAGAAAAAACATCAGTACTATGTTTCCCTCATGTCTGCTAAGAAACAGGAATAATTGTAGGCAGTTGTCTTGCTGAGAAACAAAGATTGCATTCCATATTGTTCCCTGCAGAGACCTAGAAAAGTTGGAGCAAAATTTACAGGAACTAACATTGCACCAGATGAGCACATGCAGCCTCAATTGATGTTTGACTATGATGGGAAAAGAGACCGTTGGAATGGTTATAACCCAGAGGAGCATATGAAGATTGTAGAAGAATATTCGAAGGTTGATCTAGTAAGTAAATTGTTTTTACCCCACTTTGGGTATAACATCAACCCTATCTTTTGTCATGTTGGTATAAAAATAAATAACATTATCCAGAACTGATTCTTGTGCTAATATAAACATATAGATGTGTTTATAAAATAGTGTCAGAAGCTGTTATTAGTTCATTTACTTTAGTTTTCCAAGTGTTCAGATAAGATTTTTCCTCTTCCGTGCTTGGAGACCCTGGGGATATACTATATCTGTTCATGTTTGCGTTGTAAACTAAGTACTCTTTCACCAAGCAGCACCTTTCTCTAATAATTAAGATTTCCCCCTTTCCCAAAACTTGGTTAGTCAACAATTAACCACAAAGTATCTCCATTACTAAAAAAGGAGACAAGAGAAAGGTGCATCCTCCTACACACACCATTCATAGTTTGAAGGGAACCATGGTCAATCTTTGGCTGCCTTTACTTTTGATTCCATTGATATTTTTTCATTGACTGCCTCTGAATTAAGACACCAAAGAGGCTAAACATTCTTAAGTCTTGAGAAAGTCATTGAAGAAATGAAGGAACAGATTTCAGACAAAGTTTAGCAAACTTACTAGGTGTGAGGAAGAAAGCTGAGTTAGATGTAAGTCAATTTTCTGTCTGTAAATTGCTTACACTTCTGTATTGTTGACTCTAAATTATAATTCCTTGCTCATCAAAACTAAGAAGAACATTTATTATTTCATGCTAAGTATGGAGTGGTTAGGAAATCTTTTAAGAGAAATACTACTCCTGCTTTTCCTTTAATGTACAGGCTAAACGCACACTCAAAGCTCAGAAACTGCAGGAAGAACTGGCTTCAGGAAAACTGACAGAGCAAGTGGTAAGTCAGGGGGAAAAACATCTAAATCTGAAGGATAAGGTAGTGTTTTCCTCCTTTTTAAATGTATTTTTCCAGCTAGTATAGGATGTTGACACAAAAGCACTGAATATGGCTAAAATCTGTAAGGTAGAGCTTTCTTAATTGTAAATTCTTAATTGCTTCACTAGATGGCAGTGTAAACTTTATATAATTCTTCTGAATGTGAGGAATCAAAGCTTTTCAGAATGAAAAGATATTTTCATTGTTTGGAATTTATTTTCCTTTGCCTGGAAACCTAATTATTTATTTGGGTAGCTAAACATTTCTTATTCTGGTTTGCAGCAACTCCCCAAGTTTGGCAAGAGGGGGGTGGTTTTTTTTTTGCATCACTGGCTACCTGATCTTTTGAACATTGCACACAGAATGGACTCATTTCTCTCTATATGAGCATGTGTTCTTTTTAGTAATGATGAAGTCCTGTTTCGTACTGGGTCTTGACATAACCAACACAAGATGCCATCATAAGCGCTATGATCCATTTTGATTCCTTATCTCCTTTTAACAACTACTTTTAAAATCTAAATTAGAAGCCAATTTAATTTAAACTGTTGCATTAAAATTACAGTTTACCAACCCTGACAGTGTTCGATATTGTTATAAAAGTATTAATGTCTCAGTTCTTGATTTTAAGAATGGGTATGAAATTTCAGAAATATTTTAGTTATTTGTTTTGTCACTAAGAAAGGATGAAAGAACGATATCCCTAAAGCTATTTTGAGGAAAGAATCTTAGATAAATAAATAAAATGGCTTGAAGCTAATGATCTGCCTTGGTTTAGCTTGAGACCAAATAGAGGCCTTTCTTTTCAGAATGCCTTTTCTCAAACAATTTATCAATTATTTTGATTACTTCACTGTAAAGTTACTCTGTGCTGATTTTCAGAGACTGTTTTTGTTGTTTTCTCTAGAATTCTTCACGTCATCGATGGGGAGAAGAGGAACTAAATTTACAAACGGTGAGAGTAGGGTTTTTTTTAATAAATAACAAAAATTAAGGGTATTTTTTTGTTGTAAATATGTCTTTCACATAAATAATTTGATATTCTGTGTGGCATTCCTTGATTTTTAAGTAGCCTTTATCATTTGCCTTCTTATATGGAGATCTATAGATTCATCTCTCATTACAGCTGCAGTTTTTCAGGCAAGTGATATAATGAAAATTGGCCCAAAGCAGAACTTAAATACCTAACAACCTCAAGCTTTATATAATTGTGTTTTTATTTGCAAACCACTTAGCCAACTAATTCAGTCCTTCACTAATAGAATTATATTGATATTAGTATTTTTTCAAAAAATAATTCACCTAAAATTTGGTATATGTATTTTGTTATTGATGCAAGTGAAATCACACCAGTTAATGCCATGCTCTCTCTTTTTAGGAAAGAGATCATAACAGTGAAGATGAAGACGAAGACAAATATGCAGATGACATTGATATGCCTGGACAGAATTTTGACTCCAAAAGACGCATTACAGTCCGAAACTTGCGTATTCGAGAGGATATTGCCAAAGTAAGCTAGACAATATCAAGAACTGTCATTTTGAAGCTAATATTCTCCATATTATTCTAAAAGGTGTAACTTTCTTCTGCTTATCTTCCTTTCATATCAGTAGTATCATCAGGTAGTAACTAAGTATGCTACTCTATGGCTTAGGATACTGTGTGAATTCAGCATATGCAACGTAATAGTGTAAATACAGTGTAAATCGTTAAGTACTGTGTAAAATGATCAAAATAATCCAAGATAAAGAATTTCAACTATCCTCCCTTTCTGCAGAATGGCATTCCTTCCTTATAGGGATAAAAGAGAACTGGTGGTGGATATAGTGATGGGTGATAGCTGTAATGTATCCTAACTTTGGCTTGGTCGAATTCACATTATTGATTATCTGATTTTATTGGTATTTCTACATGATGATCTTGGAATAGCTACATTAAATTGATAGTGTTATTAGCTGTATTAGAACTTCAAGTTGATATTTTTATGTTCTTGCTCTTTAGTACCTACGGAATCTAGACCCCAATTCTGCCTACTATGATCCTAAAACCAGAGCAATGAGGGAGAATCCTTATGCTAATGCAGGAAAGAATCCAGATGAGTAAGTTAGCTTCAAATTGCTTCAGCAAATACATGGTCTTATATACTGCCCTAGAATTGATACATAGGAAGGTCCTGATTTTCAGTTTGAAGAAAGTTTTTTTTAAAAAAAAAATAGAGAAGTGTGTCATTGTGCTCTTTCCTCAAAGCAGGTTGTTTGGAATGCTCATAGATCTTGGAAAACTTGGGAGAGTTGGTGGTGAACACAGATGAATATTAGGTGCCTACAGCTTAACTCTGCTGTAAAATAAGTACCTCAGGTTTCTGTAAAATTATCTTTAGAAAGCTTTTAACTCTCCATGAATAACCATGCCATATAGGAAAAAGTTTTTTAATCCCTTATAGTGGATGTTTTGCTTCAGAAGAACATATATCCTTTTTTCTTGCCCAGACTTTATTTGGAGATTGTTTCTCATAGTGCATTTTAATGACAGAGAAATTACAAATTACTCTGTCAATACGTTGATCTAAATTACTAACAAAGTAATTTAAAATGACATTTTAAGACCAAAAAGATTGGCTGCTGTAATCAAAATGCAATAGGAGAAGCAATAACAAATCCCAGAATCACATTAATAAACAAAGAATGGGTCTTATTAAATTTATACTTTTTAATCAAAATGGCCTTGCATTTGCTTTGCTTCTGTGCAAAATAGAACTACAAGCTAAATACTTACAGAATAAACTATTTTTCTTACAGAGTCAGTTATGCAGGAGATAACTTTGTACGTTACACGGGGGCCACCATTTCCATGGCCCAAACTCAGTGTAAGTACTAAATCTAAGGTGTATAAAAGATAAAAGACTGCTGCTCACTTGTTTTTAAGTTAAATTTGTTTTAGATAAGATTATTCTTTAAGGAAGAATATTTATATATCACACTTCATAACTGCTCATCTCCTTCATAGATGCCCAGTTTACTGCAAGGAATGTCATATTTGGTACTAGATTTCCCAAGCAAAGGTAGAGGGGGAATACTAGAGGCAGAGTCCTCTAACAGTGCCCTCTCCCAAAGTATATTAAAACCATTGATTTTTTGAAAGGTGTATGCATATATCTTTCCAGACTCTTCAAGGACTATAGGTGTATGCTTTCCTTATACTATCAAAGGGCCACTGACTACAGAAAGAAAATGTCCACTTTTATGATTTCTTTGGGGGATGGGAGATGGCTCAATGATTAAAGACATTGAGCTTGTCAGATGGAAAGCTGACAGCCTGGGTTTGAGACCCAAGTGCCATGAGACAAGGTGAGCTCCCGTTACTTGCCCCAGTTTCTGCCCACCTAGCAGTTCGAAAGCATGCAAATGCAAGTAGATAAATAGGTACCACTTTGGTGGAAGGATAACAGCATTCTGTGTACCTTTGGTGTGTAGCCATGCTGATCACCTGACCACCAAAAATGTCTTTCGACAACGCTGGCTCCCTCAACTAAGAAATGGACATGAGCACCACCCCTTAGAGTCAGGCATGGTTACCTTTTATCTGTACCTTTATGAATTCTTAGCAGATTGGAGCTGGAAATGGGTTAATTTATGATATCAAGAGACAGAGGGATGGATGGGATGGTACCAAGTAAAATGTCCTCTAGTCCCCTTTACCTCTCTCAGGTCCTTGGTTTAAAAATGGACCTGGCAGGGATAAGTGTTTATCCTTCACACTGGTTCTCTCTCTCCTCCTTTTGCTCTTGAAGCATCCCAGAAGATGGGAAAGAGTAAGAATCCTCTTTTCTAGGGTTTCCTTCACAGATAATTGGTTCACAATATTTTCTGAGTGCTTATTAAATAAAATAATAGTTTAATGTTCATGTATTTTAGAAAAACTGAAACTATTTTTCTTTCTTTTATTTTCAAAGTATTCGCCTGGGAGGCCTATGAAAAAGGCTCTGAAGTTCATCTTCAAGCAGATCCTACAAAACTTGAACTCTTGTACAAATCTTTCAAAGTGAAAAAAGAAGACTTTAAACATCAGCAGAAAGAAAGCATCTTAGAGAAGGTGAATTAACAGGCGTTCAGTCTCCTTCAGAATTCCCTTTTTACTATATGTTACCATTTTACTCGGGGGGGGGGGTAGAAATGTTTGCAGCACTATGGTATCATTTCCCATTTCTAAATTAATTAAAACTTTATAAAGTAAAGTAATTACATGTCAAATTATGGGAGACTTCACCAGATCGATATTATTAAAGAATAAGTCAGTTAAAAATGGAAATAATCTTGCATATATCACTAGAGAAAGCTAAAACATAATTATAAATATAGCCAACTTCAAAGTCAGAATAAACTTACGTAACTCTTGACTTGATATTTTTTTGTATGGTATCTTAAATTCCCAAATGATTTTGAGACAGTTTTTTAAACCTGGGGGCGGGGGGAGGCGGAAGGGTGCTGAACTTCAGCAGGAGGTTGTAAGGATGTTTGTGGGGAGTCCGTTGTAACTTTGAACAGTCACTAAGTGACATAACTTTATCAGTACTCTCTCCACTATGGGAATCTCATAGAAAAATCAAAATGCATTTTACATGGTGTAAAATGCTATAAAAATAATTTTTTTATTTGAAAATTTTGTATGGCCACTCATAACACAACTCTGGGTAGCTTACAATAAAAGACAAAAGTGATCAAAAACAGTAAAACCAAAACCTGGCATCTGAACCATCCTTCATAGTGCATCCAAAAAAGTCATCCTCAGGCCACAACATCACCCTGTTCCAATCTTTAGGGGGAAGAATCAGCACTTTACAGTTGTCCAGAAAGGATGAGGTCCTGACGGATCCTGGGGGAAGGCTATTCCACAAGGCAGGGGCCACTATGAAAGACACATTTCATAGGACCTGCTGGATAGCAACATTTAAGGGAAAGAATCTGAAGCCTCTCTACCCTATCCAGTCTGGTGAATGGGCAGATATCTTCAGGGAACGGGAGTCCTGCAAATGAATCTTTCAAACTTCTCTTTTTTTTTTTTTTCTTGTAGTATGGAGGCGAAGAACATCTGGATGCCCCACCATCTGAACTGTTACTTGCTCAGACAGAAGACTATGTGGAGTATTCTAGACATGGAACAGTTATTAAAGGTCAAGAGAAGGCTGTTGCTCGCTCCAAGTATGAGGAGGATGTAATGATCAACAACCACACAGTAAGCACCTCAAACAGGATTTGGCAATTTGTGGTTCTTGAACTAATTTCAAATACTTTCTGCATAGAATAAGTGTAACTAGCCTCTCTGCATTACTTAGCTATGGCAATCCCTGCAATCCCAATTGCCCCTGTTAACCAAATCCCACAGTCATGAGGCAAGGTAAGGTAACTTCTTGCTGGCTTCCCACAACCAAAGTCATTGGGGAAACCACAGCAGCTGGCAAGTTCCAGGTTGCAGGGAAGTAAGTAGCTGCTGCTGGATGGGAGCAAAGGGGACACTAGGGGGTACACAAGCATGTACAGGGGTGCATAAGAGTTGTGTGGATCTGGGCGTGGGTGCAAGAGTACAGGTTGAGAAGGGGTCGCATGAGGAGACATGAGAATTGGTAGGCACACAGGGTGCATAGGTCTGGCATATGAGCACAGAGGGACTGCAGGAGGCTGTATAGGCTGGGGAGACTTATCCTGATGACTTCCAACCTTCTCTGCCAGCTTCCCCATTGACTATGGGGAAACCAGCAGGGAAGGTCACAAGTGGCAATCATTTGATCATGGCTGCTACAACTGAATGTAAATGTGAACCATTTGCCAAGCATTCAGATCACAATCACGTAACTGTAGCGTACTGGGATGGCTAGAACTCTTGAGGATTGATCCTAACCACTCTTTCAGCACCATCATGACATCAGTCACTGAAAGAATGGTCATAGGTCAAGGACTTGCTGTGCTGATAACTTCATCTCTGCCCTATCATGTGCTCTCCTCAATAGGTCATTCTCGGTGAATTGCTGTCATTGATTTAAAAATTGCCTGGTCTGACCTAAAAAAAATTTTTTAAGACCCTCTTTCTATTAGAAATAAATCTTTTCAAGTAATGAACAGTTAGTAAGGATTCTCTGCTTAGAATTATTCTGAGATTTACAATTGCAAAAATCTAGAAGACAATGTAATTTTTGGCTTCTATGTGTTTTTTAAATTACTTTTTCGAATTTATTTCTTTAGGGAAATGTATACTGTACAGTGCTTTTCCTTTTCCTCCACATTCTTGTCTTATTCTTGTTCTGTTAAAGTTAGCTAACTGGTATGTGATCCATTAGGGACTTTTCATGGCACAATTAAGATGAAGCCAACAGATGGAATTAGGGCTGGTTACTAACTTTACTCAGAATCAGATTTAAAACACGAGAAATCAGTTTGTAATGAGAAATCAATTTGATATCTAAACATTAAGACTCTAATTTTTGTTAGTCATTCCTGACACTATGGTGTTAGTCATCACAAAGTGTTTGATGTTAATCATGAATAGGTTCATAAGAGAGTATTGTGAAACATTTGCCATGAAGGAGATTTTAGCAGAATTGAAACTGAAGGTACTCTAGATCAGTGATCCCCAACCTTTTTTATGGCGCGGCCCGGTACCGGCATTAGCTGGGCGCCGCCATCTTTTTTTGATGAAAAAGTGCTTCCGGTGAGCTTTCTACCCGGAAAAGCTCACCGGAAGCACTTTTTCATCAAAAAAAGATGGCAGCGCCCAGCAAGCCAGCGGCCCGGTAGGACTTGTTCCACGGACCGGTACCGGTCCGCGGACCGGTGGTTGGGGACCCCTGCTCTAGATGAAGCTTGTTTCTTTCAACAGAGAATTGACCTTTCATTGAGCCACCAGTTTGTTTTCCTTATTCATTTCAAAATATTCTATGAGGAAAGGATTTAATATTTACTGGGTAAGGTTAAATGCAAGGAGAAAGTTCATCGTAATTATAGAAATGCTTACTTACTTAAATTTAGCCGTTTGAACCTACTGTCTGGGAAGGTAATGGGGATAAAATGTGAAAAATATTGCAAGTGAAATCTGTCCCATACTTTTTAGATTCCATTGATTTCATTAGTAGAATTAAGCAGATGCTAAATCCTTCAAATAAACCAATATAATAGAATAGGGACTTGGTTCTTGATACAAAGGAATTATCACATTACACGCAACTCAACTGATTAGTGCATTTTTCATTGTTTCTATTCATTTTTCTGCTGTAGAAGGTTGTACCAAACCTGTACCGAAATTTAAATAGTACATTCTTCAGGAATAGAGTATTTCTTAAATTTATCACAAACTCTTTGGGAATCAAAAAAACCATTATGAAATGTAATACATGAGGTTGCAAGCCATTATCATAAGCAGTTAATACCTTTGTTTTCCTTGCAGTGTATTTGGGGTTCTTACTGGAAAGAAGGAAGATGGGGATATAAATGCTGCTACTCATTTGTCAAGTTTTCGTATTGTACAGGAGAAGCTGGAAAGGAAATTGCTGTAAGATATAGTTTATTTAGTGGAACTATAAATTGACATTTTAAAAACAAACCTAATGCTTAACTCTCTTTGTGAAATTGGATTTTTTCTTTTTCCTACACATAGAATGCCAGTGAAGAATTGCCAAGTGAGGTGCATGAGGATGAGCAGTTAACCAAACCCAAAACTCTAATGGAGGTGGGCTTCTTTATTGTTTCGTTTTCTTTCTAGTAGGTGGCTTTCTAATGAGCCTATTGCCAGTCAAGGACAAGATAAGCTATTTTGGTATACAGAGTGTATTTATAATTTTTTTTCCAGTAGCCAGAAAGGCCCTAGAAGGGATAGCAGTGGTATAATTATGTCACAGGATGTGACAGCTTGTTCCTGTTTTAGAGGAAGATTAAGTGCAATAAGCACATTTAAGCCTTGAAGGGGTGCCACACATTTTGCTGCTTAATTTACAAAAAGTAAAAAGAAAAGAAAAAAGACTTTCTGCTATTATTCAGTTGCATGATCTTAGAGGCAATAGAAAAGTAGGTGGTGAAGTGTGGATGGCCTTCTGTTTACTTGTTTCTGTTTTATATGAAGTCCTAAAAACATTACAGCACTTTCTAGGCAGTTATAATGCAACTATTGTACAATGGCAGTTGCGCATCTGTTGCACTTGTTGAAACTTTCAGGTAGGATGGGATTCTGCCAGGTAAGTGATATAGATACATGCCATCTGCCCCTAAGAAGAAATTTAATGTGACACTCCCTTAAGTACCTATTGCCTGTAGCTTAGAATACCCTCATTCATGTCTGTCTGCATTTTATTTTATCCTCTTTCCCATTGCTACAGATACACCAACAAAAACAAAAGGAAGAAAAGAAGAAGAAAAAGAAAAAGCATAAGAAGAGTACAAGTTCTGATAGTGAGGGAGAAGACAGAAAGAAACAAGAAAAACTGAAAAAGGTATACATAAAACCACTGTCACCTGTATTATCCTCAAATCCTCTTAAAGTGTACAGACTATCTGGCATACCAAGTTCCAACATGAGAATAGAGGCTTATTTCTCTCAATTCCCATGCTGGAACTTCTTTCCTATCAGCTATCTTTCCAGCAACAGATCTTCATAAATTCATATTTATTTTCACAAACCCATATTGAATTTAAAGGAGAGAAATTGTGTTTTCCAATCAGAACACATTGGCATAATAAACCAAATTCTGGTTTTCTTGGATTTAAGGGAGAAATGGAGATTCCTGCCCTGTCTTGTGATACCACTGTGAAATTATAGTCTCAGTCTATAGAATAGTAAACCGTATTCTCACAACTATATGGGAACAAGTTCCTGTTGATTATTGAAAAAGTCAGTGGATGCTGAAGCTCTTATATTTAGCATTAATTATGAGTAGTCTGTGAAATTTGAATAAATTTTCAGTGTGATATCATTTATACAACTATTAGCTTAGACAAACATAATGTGTTCTGACCAAGGCTTCCTGAGACAGTAACAATCACATGCTGTTTCCAAAAATCTTTTTTTAAAATATTTCAATGGCTGTGAATTATATGCATTCACAGCCCATAATGAGTCCCAAACAGTTTATGAATAGTCCAACAGAAGTCTGCCACAGTCTTTCAGAATAAGGCTGATAAGCACCCACCTTTATCTCCCTTGAAATGCTGACAATGACTAAATTGCCAATTAGCTGTACAAGGCCAAACAGCACAAAGTCAACACGGAGCTTCAGATTTTAAATCAACCAGAACTAACAAAGTTGCTTCCTGCAAAGGCTCATGTCCCTTTGCTCCTCCTTTATGTCTTATGGGACGGGCCAATCATCTCCAAACCTTACTCCTGAGTCGCCCCTTTTGTCTTTACTGTTCTTGCCTTCTGGCAACTCTGTGCAAGTGCACACTGGGAACAGGCTCCCCTTGTTCCTCTGCCTTGCTGATGTCAGATTCTGGAGGCTCTGGAGTCAGCACATAACTCTCAGATGGCCCTGGCCCCATCTGTCGGACGCAGATCCCTCGTCCGAACCCTCCCCAGATTCCAGGAACTGGCCCATGTTCCTCCCCACTGTCCGACTCTGCTGCCAGCTCTGCAGGCCGCTGGTGGACCACAACATGTTTCGCTTCTGTGTTCATAGTGAGATGATTTTTTATTCTGTTCTGATATATACTGTAACTCTTGGAATATTTTATATTGGCCATTTGCTGGAATCCTTTGGATCAAATCTGACTTATTACGTGACCTATGTGGTCTATTACGGATTGCAGCTTTTTCCAGCTTTCTCATTACTTTTCCTGAGTATCTTAGCAACTTTACTCTTTGAATTGTATTGAGCATTACCATTTGCTTACTAGATAGTTGTAGTTCCAGGGACAACTGTAACACAGCGGTGAATTTGTATTTTCAGGCACTGAATGCAGAAGAAGCCCGTCTCCTTCATGTGAAAGAAATCATGCAATTAGATGAGAGAAAGAGACCATATAATAGCATGTACGAAAACCGAGAACCAACAGAGGAGGAAATGGAAGCTTACCAAATGAAGCGCCAGCGACCAGATGACCCCATGGCCTCTTTTCTGGGACAGTAGTTTTGGGCAAAAGACTTGCAAGCTCATAGGACTTGTATATAGGTGTCTAAACAGATCAATGTTGTATGTGTGTCACTTTCCCTAAGCAAGTTATCAACTGATGTCCTGTTCTTTCGCATCATACTTACATATGGCCCACCCAGCCTAGAGCTCTCTGAGCAGAAAAAAAGTTTTTTGTTGAGCAGGTTTGCTCAAGTCCTTGTAAATTATAATGCTGAATGAATTTCTGAATTTTAAAAAAAACTATATTGATGAGAAGAGTCAGTAGATATTGCAAACATCAAACTGCACACAATTGATAGTCTGTTTCAAAAATACATAATTGTTTACTTCCCTGAATAGATTAAAGCTGACTTTGAGGAAAACTATCTGAATCTTAATAGAATTGCACAATTCTGAAATGGTTTTCAGTTTCTCAGCAGAATTTATTTTAGCATTCCAGCTATTAAATTCTGGTTATAATATTTCATTTCTAATAGGGTACATTATTCTGTCACATTTAAAGATTCTATTTTCCTATAGACATCTGTGGACTCCTGGGCCTTTTGTTTTATATCAATCTGCCTGTAACTTGTTGATCATATTGGCCTGGAATTTTAAGGGTTCAAATTCTTATCAATATGGAAATGCTTTAATCCTGATTTTTTAACAAAAATGTTGAGTCTTGTAGTAACAAAGGCTAGTTCATTAATGTAACATACGCCTGGATTTGACTAATGAGTCAAACTGAGGAGCTCAAATTGGAAGGAGATTTTGCCACGCTGACATGGCAAGTCAGAAGTTAGTGAAATGCAGAGTACGGTCCAACATTAATACATAATGCTCAATTGAGAAATATAATGGATATTTATATTAGTTGTGTAATTGCCAAACTTCCTGGCTTTAGTATTTAATTGTAGAAGAAAAAAGTCATTTTGAAGTAATTCTAAATGAATAGAATCAACTTGGCAATATACATTAGATTAATAATTTCTCCCTGGATAGTGGGACATTCCTACAGGTGCTTATTATTGCTGTTTTTATATGCCTGTCCTTTTGGCCAAAGTTATTCCTCTGGTTGTAATAGAAGGGCATTGCTGGAAAGTAATTATATACCTTATATACAGATAAGAATGCAATTGGACCCTCAAAAAGAACATGCAGAAAATAATACAGAATATTTTGACATTGTAATTGTAGCATAGACAAAAAGAGATCCCATTTTGAAATGTATTATTCCAAAAATGTATATATATTTTACACAAGCTTTTTATTTATTATTTTCAGTTTTAATAGTAATTCCCGTATTCTTTTATACTAATTATATGTTTAGGTGCAAGTATTATTTTACGGTGTTGTGCTAGATCTTACTAGAAAATTAGACTCTTAGGAAAACTAGCTTAATTTTAAAATCTGCAAACTCATACTATCTTGTTTTAAGATTTTATCTACAAAAGGAAAACGTATTTCACAAATTTTAAGTGTTTTTTCATCTGTTCTGAACTGACATTGAAAACCTCATCAAAATAGTAGAAATGTTTTAGTTGCAAGAAAGCCAGCACACCACTAAGACTTGCAATACTTTACCAAGCTTTATACAAGGGAAAAATGGGAAGAATAATAATTTTGCATGGTAACCTTCATGGTAAAGTGGATTTGCACTTTAAAACTGGATTCTAGAAAAGCTATTTTCTAGATCTGTCCAATTTTTACATATCCAGTGCAATCCAAGAAAGGTTTTTCATTTTCTGTCATATTTGGGGTTTTTTCCTAGTTTAGCTCTCATCCCATGTGTTTCCATATAATCTTTTTATACCTTTTTTTTATTTTATACTGAAAGCATTGTAATTGCTAACAGCAGGAGAACCTACCCACAGTCTACATCTACTTTTCCTCCTCTAGTGATGTGATAGGAGGCTGATATCCAAAACAGCATGTCACCACCTGTAATTTTCCTAATACAAATCACGAGTTTATTTACCATATAAATATTGTACTATGTTCTGGCATATTAATTGTAAAAGAAGTAGTGTTGATTTTAAATATCAGCCCAGGTTTAGCCTAAACTAAATTGTAATGCTGTTCTGCTTTGCATCTGTGAACATTTCATTTTAAAGGCTCTAAATTATACTAATCTAAACAGAGCAGCTAAAGCCTGGCTTGCCTCATAAAAATCTAATATAGGCTAAGCTAATAAGCATTTTGTTTTGCTGTCAGAACATTTTATAAGATCTCTCTTGGGATACTGCACAAACTGTCCCAGATTTCATAAGCAAGAGCCAACACAACATACCATGTTTCAGTAAAGAATATAGCTGTACTATTGCACCGTTTGCCAGAACTGGAACAAAGTGGGCTAAGGCTTGGAAACAGGGCAACTAAAAAATACTGTTGGAAGAATTGCCCTTCTGGTTTCAGTTCCAAGTGGGGAAAAAGACACTGGAAACATGGAGGCTGTTTGGAAAGATGGTTTAATGGTGGACAGGACCACATGACTTGGAGCTCCAAAGAAGGAAGGGCTGATGCTGGTTTTATATCCTCTGTTGGGATTTGAATTTGAGCTTGTATTCTGATTGGTTGTCAGACTCCCATGGGGCCATGCAGGGGCAACTCTGTAGGCTGTCCTGAGTCCCAGGCTTGGTTGAGCCTTGCTGGGTGATGATGTAATGAAAGGGCATGTTTTCTTTTATGTTCACTGAGAGTCTATGCACCAAGACAAATTCCTTGTGTGTCCAATCACACTTGGCCAATAAAGAATTCTATTATATTCTAAAACATACTGGGAAGATTAGTAGTATATATAGTAGTATATATATATATACAGTATTTGTCACCCTGAGCATATGCACAATTTTTTCACTATAGTATATCACTGATCTTAAAATAAATACATGCCTGCACCTGTTGAAATTTGGCAAAATTGTTAGCAACAGAGTTAAAATACCTGTGAACTAGATTAAGGCTACCTGCTGACCAGCAATGGGTAATGGTCCTCCACCTTACAGACTTCAAGACGTGGACTAGCCAGAGAATTCTGGGAGTTGAAGTCCACATATCTTAGTTGCTAAGACTGAGAAGCAAGGTTTCAGCCTCATTAGGTAACATGTTGAAGACAAGTAGCTCCTGATCCTTGGAAGCCTTTGCCTGGAACACGAGGAAAAGGGATTTCTCCAAGTATTTAGCCACATGTGTGGAGAGTTTTCTTCCCTGTGTCACGTGACACAAGGCAGACGCTCAACATTACACAATAATCAAAAAATGCTTCTGGCAAAGCTGAGCCAAAAAAAGCTGCTGGAAGAAACTGGGATGCAAATGCAAGGCAGCCACTTCGGCAAATGGTATTTGAGAAAACAAGCTTTTCAGATACTTCATTTAAAGGAAGTGCTTTGTGGCAGTGACTCCTGACAAAGGTGGGCAACAAGGTCCGGCTGAAGAACATTTGTTTTTAAGATTCAGCAAATTTCCGACTGGATGTCAGGCGCTGCTTGAAGAAAGTGGTGCTGGTAAGTAGTTTATTTTTAACTTCTTTTAAGCGTTTTTTAAGTAGGGCTTTCAGCCAGAGGCTATGCAAAAGTATGGGCAATTTACTGCTAAAGTAAGCATGTCACCTTAAAACGGTTGATTTCTTGAGGTTTGTATGGCACTGACAAGACGTGGGGAGACAAAGTGCAGTGCAAAAATGCTGACTTAAAGTTGCAGTTGTCTCTTGTGCAAAAAAAAAAAAAAAATAGTGTGCCAAGGAATCGCTGGAATTGTGCAGTCACACATGATCAATGACAAAGAATGAACTTCTGATGAGTTCAGTTTTGAAATTGAAAAAATAAAAGTGAGGCGGCCACAATAGTCTTTAATTTGCACATTTCTCTCATTAAACTCCACCAATGATTTGTTTTGGATTCTGTGCTCTCATAAAAAACCCATTTGATTTCAACAGAGAAGCTGTTTTTAAAGAAAGAGAGAGAGAGAAACAGAAAGAAAGAAAATCTTTGCTGTTTTTAGGGAAGGGATAAAATTAATCCGGAACTAAAATATTCATTTTAAGTAACTAAATAGTAAAACTAAGAGAACAATTGCCACACACACAAAAATAGCCAGAGGGATGTTTGACGTGGCTTTTGTGATACAAATGAAGGGAAGCTTCCTTTCTAATAAGACCCATCTGTTCCCCTTTAGCTGCTAAAAGAAATTTTAAGAGAAGGTTGAAAAAAATAATAGATAAATTCACCTTCCATAACTAATCAAACTATATATTCCATGAAATCTATGAATTTATCTTTTCCCATGCCTTCAGCCAATAAATTTGATATGGTTTTCTCTCCATATGCTCACCATTCAACTGGTCAGTCTCCCAGACTTTCTAACTGCTCTTGGGCATATCCTGTCTCTTTCTCCTCCCCTCCCCATCAAGGGAAGAGGGAAGGGTTAAACTGGAGGCTAGTAAAAATACAGTGCCATCCCATTTCCCCCCCTTCTTCCCCTGCAAAAAAAAAATTGGCATGGTAGAAATTTGCCCCCAAATTGGTGCCAACCAATCCTGTTAGTAATTTCTAAGATCTATGAAGGAATGTATGCTTACCTGTTCAAATGTGCCTTTCATTTTTTTCCATACTGCTTTCCACTTTTGAATTTTAGGAAACCAAAACAACGTTGTGTATGAGCACTGTCTAAAATTAATACATATTACTACATTCTTCCCAGTAAAAATCACCCCAAAATTTACACATTGTTCATTGGGTAGCTTATGAAATGTTAAAAAACAATGATAATGAAAGAGAATATAAAAATTGATGTCACTAGGTAGTTATATATCACCATAGTTATGTCTGTTCACAAAAAGAGTACTCTGTGCAACCTTAGAGGCCTTTTGTGCATAAGGAAAACAAATTCCATTCCTTACTAGGACTGCTGATGTTACCTAGTTTGGGTAATGAACCATCTGCAAGAAAACAACCAAGCTCAGAGAGCACCAAGGACCCTCTCATTTCAACTTTAAGATTTTCCTTTAATGAACGTAAGTCCCAGAGGGAGACTTTAGGCATAGAAGCCAGATAAGTGACTCCTTTTCTCTCAGTCCTAGGAAAAAAGCAGAAGCAAATCAGTGCCAAGAAAACTATGTGGACTTCTCTATATACAGATAGTCCTCGACATCACAACAGTTTACTTAATGGCCATTCAAAGTTACAATGGCACTGAAAAAAGGTGATTTATGACCATTTTTCACACTTATGACCACGGCAGCGTCCCCATGGTCACCTGGTCAAAATTCAGATGCTTGGCAACTGACTCATATTTATGATGATTGCAGTGTCCCGGGGTCATGTGATCAGCTTTTGCAACCTGATAAGCAAAGTCAATGGGTAAACCAGATTCATTTAACAATTGTGTTACTAATTTAACAGTTGCAGCGAATTCATTTAACAAATGTGGCAAGAAAGATCCTAAAATGGAGCAAAACTCGCTTAACAAACGTCTCACATAGTAACATAAATCTTGGGCTCAATTGTGGTCAATTGAGTTGAGGAGGACTACCTATAGCTGGCAGGAGTCAAAGCTGAGTTGCAGGTACAAATATGTAAGGATGAGATTAGTAACTAGCATTAAGCATGAAAGATTGATTGCCTGAAACATGTATACCAGGGGTCCCCAACCACCGGTCCACGGACCGGTACCGGTCCGTGGAACAAGTCCTACTGGGCCGCTGGCTTGCTGGGCGCCGCCATCTTGTTTTGATGAAAAAGTGCTTCCGGTGAGCTTTTCCGGGTAGAAAGCCATTTCTACCCGGAAAAGCTCACCGGAAGCGCTGGGCACCGCCATCTTGTTTTGATGAAAAAGTGCTTCCGGTGAGCTCACCGGAAGCACTTTTTCATCAAAACAAGATGGCGGCGCCCAGCTGATGTTGGTACCGGGCCGCGCCATAAAAAAGGTTGGGGATACCGGGCCGCGGCGTAAAAAAGGTTGGGGATCACTGATGTATACTATATATTGTATTTCCAAACCAATCAATTCAACAGAATTCTGATTTCCCTTTCTGCAAATAGAAAGGCCCTTTCCTTTCTTGCAGGGAACTGGATCCAATCAAATTTACTCCTGGAACTGAGGGATTTATTTATTTATTTATTTATTTTTGCTTTCCCCCTCCCCCAAGGTATCAGCTCCCACAAGGTTCCAGAGAAGTTCTCCTTTCTGGGAGGGGCCAATA